AAGCACACCAAACCTAGCAACAGGTTTGTTTTTATAGTTTGATAAAGAGTAGAGGTCTGGGAAATTGAACATAAGAGGCACATCCCCAACCCAAAGGTCTTCCCAGAATAAAACTTTGTTGCCACAACCAACATCAAACCTGATAAATTGAAGAAAAGTTGGATATACCTCAAAGATTGCCTTCCAAGGAGAGGAAGGAGCTGCATTGGGGGCTAATTTTGCATCCCAGCCGTTATCTGCATCACCATGTAAGCTTTTAATGACCCTGTGCCACAACCTTTTCTTCCTCACAAGGGAATCTCCATAGCCATTTCCCTAGGAGGGCCTTGTTTTTCTTTATTAGGTTCCTTATACCTAACCCACCCTGGTCCTTGGGGTAACAAACTTTCTACCATTTCACGAAATGATCTTTCTTTTCTTCACCTGGCTCCCACAAAAAGTCCCTCATAATCTTCTCCAATTTCCTAGCTATTTTCATTGGGATCTTAAAGGTGGAAAGGAAGTTAGTGGGAAAGTTTGCAAGGGTTGATTTTATCAAGGTGATTCTTCCCCCCAAGGAAATATAATTTCTCTTCCACATTGCCAACTTCTTCATGAACCTCTCTACCACCAGTTTCCAAAAGCTTTCAGCTTTCGGATTCCCACCCAAGGGCATTCCTAAGTATTCCAGAGGCCAATTTTTCACTTCACAACCTAGCAGATTTGCCATGGCTTGGATATCCCCCCCCCCTTCAATGTTGATTCCGGCTACACAGCTTTTTCCCCAATTGACTTTCAATTTGGAGGTCTGCTGAAATTCATCCACCAATCTTTTTAGATTCCTTAAACTGGTTTCATCACAGCTTTCACAGAAAAAAATTATGTCATCAACAAATTGCAAATGAGACACCACAACTTCTAATCTACCCATTCTCCAACCTTTAAACTGGTTTTCTTGATCAGTTTTGGTGATTTGTCTAATCAAAATCTCAGCCACAAAGGTGAATAAGAATGGAGATAAGGGGTCACCCTCTGTCTTAGTCCTCTTTTAGCCTGGAAGAAATCCTTTGCAACCCCATTCATCAGAATAGAAAAATGTGTTGAGCTAATACATTCTTTAATCCACATCCTCAATCTTTCACCTAGCCTCATCTTTTCCATTAAATTCAACAGTAAGGACCAATCCACCATATCATAAGCTTTTTCAAGGTCCAATTTACAAATCAAACCTTTGTCACCTTGTTTTCTCTTAGCTGTCACACACTCATTTGCCACTAAAATTTGATCCACAAATAGGAATGACCAATCCACCATATCATAAGCTTTTGGGGCTCATTTTTTATGTTCTGTTTTGTGGGTGAGTCCTTATCACCCCTTTTGTAAATCTCTCTTTCTAATTTTAATGAAATTTATTTTTTATTTATTACCAAAAAATAATAAACTAATATGCTCCGAAATGGAACAGATTATAGAACATTATACATGAATCCATAACCTTGCAATCCCCAATTACACTAGATGAATTGGGGATTGAAGACTGACATTTCTTAACTGTTTAGCATTACTAAAGGACTCTTTGCAGTAAAAAGGATACCCAATACACAATAGCAGTTGTGCATCAAGCTATCTCAACATAAGTACCTCAGAGGAACATTTTATTGTAAGAATAAACCAAAAGTGACACAAATTCCACATTGAACCATATGCTTGAACTTGAAGAACAATGGCTGGGGAGCCAATGATGCTCAGAGCAGCTGGCTCTCGAACTTAAACCAATATAAAAAAAAAAAAGGAAAGAAAGGATCAGGAAAAAGAACTGCTTTTCACTCCAGGTCGTGGGCCAGCAGCTCAGCCGTCTGGGTCAAATGGGTCAACCCATGAATAAGAATATAGAAAACAGATAAAAAATCAGAAAATTTGCAAAATAAGAGCATTTGTCTAATAATAATATGTTCATTATATTAAACAAAAATAAGTATGATAAATGAGAATTGTTGTAATAAATGATGGAAATGGTTGAAAATAAAAAAAAAAGGAAAAATGATGATTAATGTCCAGCCCACGACCCACATACCGGGACAAACAGCTTAATGATTAAACCATTTGGAAAGTGGATGGTAGAATATTGCTATGATTTGAGATTTAAAAAATTATTTTCTAGCTATAGGTGTCTTAGAAATATGGTTTAATTTTTCTCAAAATTTTCTGGTATTTCAAAATTACTATTAATGATAACTTTTTGACATAGAAATTCTAAATTACTATTGATAACAAAATTATGATTTATACTTTTGGTGATTTCTGGTGTCTTTACATTAAGTTAGTTTGGTAGGAGGCGTTATTCAAGTTTCCTTATAGCAAATGGAAGTTGATTTGGGTCAATTTCCAAATCCAAATTGGAGCCTATAAGGGGACATCCAAGTTCATATGCTGTCAATAGAGATGGTGATTGCAATATAAGAAGAGTTTATTAGATCAAATAAAATTTGGTTTGGTGAAATATGGTTATTGCCAGGAAACTTTTGTCCTTTTTCCTTTTTTCTCACTTATTTCTTCTTCTAAATGATCAATATCTTTCCTGTTTACCGTAACAGCAAAAGCTATTATCTCTCTTCTTAATTTCTTATTCATTCTTTGGTGGACAGTAAGCTGTCTACTTGCTTTTCCATCCCTATTCTTCATCCTTAATCACCCAAAGCCCATTTATCACCCCACAAAGCCCACTGCCAGGTCTGAAATTTGTATGACCCCAACCCCATCTTACAACACAATTGATCCAACTGCCAGGTCAACCATGAACTTTTTTGAAAATAAATAAAAATGAAAATTTACTAATGAGCAAGAGAGAACAACAGAGTAATAAAGCAATCACCCACAAAAAGCCAAAACCCAAACATAAACCACCAAACCCACCGCCCCAAAAAATTACACACAAAAAAAAAAACCTTCCCAAGCCTTATAAAACATCCCAAAACAACTCCCCTTAATATCTCCAAACCAAAACTAACCCTACCAAACCTCACCACTCAGATTTCCCTTAAGGATTTTCTCCATTTGGATTTTGTCTGTGTTCCAATTTCAAAAAAAAAAAATTTCTCGCAAATTCTTCCCCACGTATGAAAGATAGCCCTAATATATTGCTTACTTGGACTTCAGTTTCCACTATTTTCCAAGTCCACCTTTTGAGCTGTTTTCCGCACTCAATCAAAAGCTACCTCCTCCTTCTTCTCATTTCCCTCCTCTCCTATATTTTCCTCTTCCTCTAAAGAAGCATCTTCCTTTTGACCACCTGAACATGGATCTAATTTTTCTTCTTTTCCATCACTTTCTACAACGGCTTCATACCAGTTTTATTTACTGCATTGCTTTGTGTTCTAGTTCTATCCTTCATCCTTTTCCTTCTGTAAACTTACTTATACTTGCTAGTTGCTACAAGGACCAATTCCAATTAGTCCTTCCTTCAAACGATGAAACACTTTTGTGACATGAATCAACTGACCAACATTAGATTCCTTGGGCTTTTTCAAGTTGACCAAAGAATCACCATCTTTTTTGTATTTCTTCACCCATGCTAATAACCTTTTTCCTCCCTAGTTCCACCCCAACTTTCCAATAAAAACATTTGAAAAAGATCAGTTGTTCCCCTCCTCAAAAACAACAAGAGCTTTCAGAACCCTTCAGAAGCTCAATTGCTTCTTCCCCCAGTTGTTCATTCCTTCTTTCCTCCATTCCTGAATGTAAAAACTCCTTCTCAGAACCAGACTCTTCAACCTTCTCCCTATCTAAAAGTGCATCACCCTTTCCATCCTTTTTTCCATTATCTAAAAACACCCATTCTTCTAGAAAACAGTCCCCATGGGGTTGAAGCATCATTATCATCCACTACTGAGCCCTGCAAAACTTCTTCTATAATCTACTCTTTTTTTTTGTAATAAAATTAGAATTTATTAAAACAAAAAAAAAATAGAATACAAGGGAGAGTGACCAGGAGTCACTCAAGAGGGAAAAGAGAAACAGAACAACCCCTAGACCAGACAACCTCAACACACCATCAAAACCGAAAACCCAAGATAAGAAACCAAAATTACAACAACAAAAACCCAAGCATCTGAAAACAATCTTGAAAAGGCTGCACAATCAAAGAAAGACAACATCCCCCCTAAACTTCAAACAAACTTTCTCCACTCCAACCTGAGTCTGAATAAGACCTGAGGTCTTATCCCTTGAGCTCTTAATCTTCAAGATGTTACTCAAGAAGCTCAATCCATCCTTGTGAAAGAAACTTGTTGTCACCCAATTCCAAACTTCACAACTCTTCTTACCCAAACCTTCATGCTTCCTGAAGAAATGTTTTTCAAATTTAACAGCCTTTCTTCCATTAACAAAACTTGACTCTATCCTTTGTCCTCCTTTCTCTCATTGAACCACACTACCATAAAGCTAAAGGCTCAGTCTTTAAGGTAGACAAAGCTAGACCACTCCACCAATCTACCATCATTTGAACCTGCCCTTCCCCCTCCATGTCAACCATGGGTTGAAAACATTAACTTAAAGCTCCATTTTCATACTTGTCATCCCATGCTTTTATCTCGTTTTTGTGGTTGAGTAAATTGACAACACCAAAGCAACTAACCCAAAAAAGGGCTTTTTCGCAAAAATAGTGGGGCAACACGCCTTCAGCGCCTTGGGATGCATAGATCTCAAAAAGTTACCCACAATCAAAAAAGAAAAATCACCACAATCGGACATCTAAGTGCAAAGTTATAGCCTCTAGAAGTTTGCATATACATTGAGTGTGCAACCCGTGGCCCAGTGACCAGGTTGAACAGGTCAACAAGTGAATGGTTCAACCACCTGGATCAGACAGTTTTTGACCAGGCCAACGGCTTTTAACCAAATGTCGGGTTTCATGTAAACCGGACCCAGAATCTTGACCAGGTGATGGTTTCAACAGTTCAACCAGCCAGGTCAATGGCGGGTTGTAAACATTGTTCTATACAACTAAAAACACCAAGGTACCTTAACATGTTTGTACATGTCTAAACCATGGTTTGAAATATCGACAAGATTTGGCAAAATTTTCCCTTTTGCTAAGTGGTGATCTGAAAATTTACAAGAATCTTTATTTTCCAAAATCTCCGATATTTTACCAATGTTTCCCCAAATCTTGCCAATATTGATAGACTATGTTGGGATTCATGTAGTCAACCCCATATGTGCGATTAAACTTCTAACAATTCCTTGAAGGTTTATTAACTAAGTCCATGTTTACAGAAAATTTCACTATTTTTTAAATTTTCTAAATATCTCAGTGAAATTAGCAAAATATCCTTAAATTTTTCCCATCACTACATGGAAAAATGTCCACTAATATCCACTACGATCAAAATTGTGAACCATGGTCTAAACACTATGATCCCAATAATGAAACACAACACAAAAATGAAAGCCTTGTGGAATAAGCTTTATTGCATGGATACATCTAAATTATACGCATAGCATATATTAAGAGATCACACCATAAGAAATGTCTTAAGTGACGTAAGTTTCACCAGGTTTGCCAGGTTACACTTGTTAAAAAATAGAAGGACCATTACTAATGTCGGTACCAACTACGAGGGTTTTCGGGAGGGATGGACTGGATGCTTGGCTTATAAAAATAGAAAAAGAAAATCAGTGTATTGAATGAGAAGCTTGTATTCTAATCCATGTAATAATGAGTCATATCCCTGCTCCCTGTATCCATGTTTATATGTAGGCATCTAAATGAGAAAAAAATTAGTAAATTACTATTCTTAATAATGTTGTCTTTTTTATAATTCTTATTGTTAATGCAAAGCATATAATAGATGAAATTTCCTATATATGACAGTGTTTTAAAAGCGCAAGGCAAGGCACACGCCTTTTTGAAACAAGGCTCAAAATTTGTAAAAAAACCAAAAATGCAAAAAATCAGAAAAAAAACTGTAAAGAAATAACGTGTATATATATATATATTAAAAATAGTATTATTTTAAAAAATACATATTTAAAAAGCATATTAGCTCAAATTTAACTATATAAGTGTAACATATGGTGCATATTCAAAGTGAAAATGTAACATATAGTTTATTCTTTTTTTTTGAAGATATAGTATATTCTAGGAGCCACTTTATACCAATCCCCTTGAGGCATGGCCAAACAAATCCATGTTAGAGTCCTAAATCCGTAATTCCTGCACAAAAGTTTGCTTTTGTGATTTTAATTATAATTCCTTATCTTCTAAAACTGATTTGTATAAGGATGAATGTACAATATTAACAAAAATGGGATTCTCAGAGCCCCTTACCCAGTCACCAAACTTTAAAAAAAAAAAAAGAAAAAAAAAGTGCAACACTTAACTAAGGCACACACCTGGGCTGAGGTGCACCAGGTGCTGCCTAGGCAAGGTGCATACCTTGAAATGTGCCTCACCTGTGCACTAGGCACACCTTTTAATTAAATCACTGATATGCGGAGGAACTTATCATCCTATAAGAAGTTCTCCACAATGAATTACAAAGGTTTCCATAAATGAAATGACTCTGATAAAGTTGAAAGATTATAAAATAAGCTCACCTTTCTCTCCACCTGAGAAGAGCTTCTAGGAGAGGAATAGGTGTATGCCGAGCCACCATTGCTAATGAATCTAACACTTGCTCATAAGCTGGGTCCGATGGCCGAAGATACTGTCCATCCTGAATATTTTCCATACAATGCAGAGTTATGAAAAAGAAACAACTTATGAGTACCCATTTATACCAACAAATATTCAGCACTTACAGCCTGTGAGCAATTATCTATTTATAAGAATAATATCAAGAAATTTCACCCACTATGGAAATGGGTACTGTGCCCATGTCTGACACATCACTTTTAATGTCAATTCCCCATGCAACATTTTGTCCATGTCATGTGTAACATTGCAGCCGTTAGAGCAGCATTTACCCTTACCAATTTATCATATTCTTCTGCCCACTGAAGGGTATGATGAGCCCAACAATAGTTTTGCGTTCCTACCCAAATGCTGTCCATTGCCAAAGAGAGGTCATTCGTCCTCTCATTTCATAACTTTTTCTTTGTCCAATGAAATGCATAAAATTGATAAGCTTCACAATCACGCAAATACAATAAAACCCTTTCTCCATTCCATCTCCCCTCTAACAGCAAAGATAAACATTACCAAAACACCAATTCACTGATATAAATACCAATGCAAATTGATAGTGTGGTAGGTAGGTACCTGTGCTTGGGCTGTTTCAATGCGGCGCCTGGCAAGAGGAAGAAACCGCTGGAGCAGTGCATCAACGATCAACTTTGCAGCACCACCGGGCTTCATTTCTTTAAGTCAAATCTCTACACTCTTCAATTCGATTGAAGTGGCTCTATTGTGTTTTAAAACATGGAGTCGTGATGTGAAGTGTTCCACTACCCAGAGGCATGAGGCGAAGTTCAGAACACAAGAGGCGTCGGCCTCCGGAGCACAAGGAGACACAAGCCTCGACCATGTGTTTTTTATAGTTATTGTTGGAATTTCTAATAATAAAACATCAAATTCAAACAAAATCAGATATTGAAAGCATCATAACATAAATTAAACTGAAATAAGTTAAATCTTAACCTCAAGAAGAAAAATCAAACAGTCGCTAGATTTTTTTAAAAAAATAGCAATTATATCAATAATTAACAGAAAAGACCAAAATGTTTATTGACACGTCAACGTCTAAGGTTCAGCAATTTGCAAATGTTTAAATTCCACCTTAAACCAAATTAATGTTTCCTCTTTTAAGTTGCGTGTGCAGTGTTCCACAAGAAAGAATTCTTCAGCCAAAATCGAGGAAAGAAGGGAAAAAAATGTTAAAAATACAGGGAATAAATGAAGTTACTTGAAGTTGAAGCTGCTGCGCTGTATTTGGTCTTCCAAGGTATAACAGGGTCTTCAGTCTTGCAAAATAGAACAGGGGCAGGAAGAACTAAGAAGAATAAGAAGAAGATCAGACGAGCTGCTGTTCAAGCTATGCCATCAGTCCAAGAATAGAACCAGTATAGACTACCAAGAAGAAGAAAAAAAGAACAGTAACAAGGCTCGAGATTGAATAGAATAAAAAGAAGATGGAAACATGAAGAAACTAATAATAACATACCCGTAAGCAGCTCGACCGAGAGACTTCAAACTCGACTTTGGAGGCTGGTTGCAGTAGCAGTAGCAGATTCGAGCCCTAACTTTCGGTCTGCAAAATAATAATTCTAATGCAGTGTTTTTCCTTCCTTTTAAGTAAATCATGACTTTACCATTTACCAAAAACAAATTGTGATTATTTCTAACGTAAATTACAGATTACCACCCAGTAATTTGGTGTAGTGACACTTACCCCCGAACTTTTATTTATAGCGAAGACCCTTAATTTTTTATACTTTAATACTTGGCCCCTCCATAAGATTCTCCTCCCTGTCATGTACTAGATAAGCATTTTTAAATTTCCAAACTATCATTTCTTTAACTAGTTGGACACTTCTGCTGTTTTTCTTACATATATATTTGAATAAACTTCCTAGTTATGTCTCTTTCTTCTTCTTTATCCATTTGTTCAAATAGGATTTAAGAAGCAAAGTAGACAATTTTCGTTATTTTGAAATGCCATTCTCTCTCACTCAAATGAATCTTGTAACTCTATAAGGGCAAAGCGTTTGATAAATTAACTTTCCTCATTCAATCGAATTAACAGGGACCAAAGTGTTTGAATCTAAATATTTATATTTTAGGGAGATCTTTGTCACAAATAAAAATTTGGGGGCTAAGTATTAATACTCAATATACAAGATCATAATCTCTAATTTACCCTTTCTTTTAATGAACTCAAAACCATGATTACGATTCCCAACTTTGAACTTTGAAATATTTTGTATCATAATTTTATATTTGTTTTATTTTTCTCTTATTTTATGCACAAAAGAAAATGGGGTTCATAATAATGTAATATTAGGGTTAATGAGGGAAGAACAACTATGAAAGGCATAGGCATGCCATAATGAGACTTGGGTAATCTATCATGATTGCCCCTAACCAAACACAAAACCGTTAAATGAGAGCCCTAAGGGTGTAGAAACAATGGAAGGCTCTTAATTGTTTGTCCTCTGAGCTGTTAATCCTTGGATTCCTCTATTGCCTTTTTGGAGTATGAACTTATTTATTTGTAATTTTGTTGATGACTTTGCTTGTTTATGCACATAAAGTGAACAAGTTGAGCAAAGGAGAAATAATAAGTGGAAAAAAGTAGATTTAAAGATTTGTTTAGTAAATGCTGGAAAGTGATAGGATATATACTATTTCCAATTACCACATAACAGCTGAAGTTTGGTAGGCACAACCCCTACGAATTTATTGTAGACCAACAATGTTTAGTGAGCTTTTTTTTTTTTCTTTTTGGTAAATACAGTGTTCAAGTAAGTTGAGTCCATATGGGTGGCCTATATCTACAAAACAATTATAAATTAGTTTAAGCTTCATATGAAAATTATTTCTAATACACAAGTAAAAATTATGGTTTACCCCATCTCATAAATTTTTATTTTATTTTGCAAAACCCCCCACCCATGGCGCACATGCCCCCCTTAAATTGTGTCAAATTCCCCCACCTGTGTTACAAACAATGACAAATTTGTAAGATGGGGGAATCAATAACTTGCCCTTTATGAATAGCTTTCATGTTAATTAAGTAAAAGCTTATATAAGCCATCAACATTATCTATTTAAGCAACCTTTAATTTGAAATCAATATTCATTTAATTAAAAAGATAAATAAATAAGGGTCTTTTTGGTTCGTAGTCAGAATCCTTCCGAATTAGAATAGGAATGGTCCACTCCCATAGTTTGTTTAGGTTAGACAAGAATCAGAATGGGAATTTGAATTAGATGAAACGAGATTCCATTTCCAAGGGACAAGAGGGAATGGTCATTCCCTTAGATGGAGGAATGCCATTCCACCAAGAATGGAAATGGGATTCCCATTCCTCCCAACCAAATTCTAGACCCCTCTTTCCATGAACCAAATGGGCCCTAAGTGGGGTAATGCATCATGTGCATGAAGCTTCAAAGTATCCCAACAATTTTTTTTTCCAAACAACCAAAATTTTCCTAGGCAAGGAATAAAATATCAATACACCTATATTGTATCCATATCAATGTATATAGATATGCATGGATACATTGATATACACATGTTTTAAAAGTTTTAAATTTTTGGAATGATAGATCCTAAACCGAGGTGGACATGCAACAGATAAATCCAACCAACTTGAATGAGTTGAGGTGGAAGGATGATGTGATAAACTAAATAGATTGGTAATCAAAGCAAGGCCAAAGGTCCTAAGGATGAGGTCCCCGGGGAAGGCACTCCGATGCTCAAGTTAGTAAGGTGTAAGCAAAGGGTGACAAGGCTAAGCTGTTGAAGATAAGCTAGTCCGAGTCGAGGAAGGTAAGGAAACAACAAAGCTAGAGAGGGGAGAGAGTTCAAGAGATTATAGAAAGTATACCTTGAGGGGAGATGCCTTTAAATAGCTGAGTGTAACTCGGGCACAACCCTTGTAGGGTCTAAGGGAGGAGACCACCCGTTGAGGTCTTTAGATATCTCCGTGTACCCCAGCAGACATGCTTTTGGTGAAGTGGATCACATGTCATGTCCTCTTCTGAGGTTCTCGCTTGTTAGTCCACTGACTCTAGTGTGCGGTGTACTAGTCCACTAACATGGCCCAAAGAGGTTGGCTGAGACTGGGACATGACTATTAGCACCAAATTTTTTATCTACCCCTTCCCTTTACCTCCTTAAACCCATCTTCTAAGATCCAAAATTTGAAAACAAAATCAAACCAATCGAAGACTTGAAAAAACCCAAAATGCCCTCTTTTGATGCAATCCACACATTGAAATCAATATCAAACATCTGATTAAACACAACCCTGATTTATGCGGTGTTCAAACTTACACTCCACAAATCCAAATTTGGCACATCCACCGCCTAAAGACACTAAAATATGCTCACCCCTCAAGTCCCACCTCAAATCCATGATGATTAACTTTGAAAATACCAAGATCCCATTTTGATGGCCTTAAATGACTAGAGCTAAAAAAACCATGATCAACCACTTCTTTCTTATATCGGAACCATCTACTTGACTTCTCACATTAATCCATTCCCACAGACCAAATTTCATCTCAAAATTCCCTTATTTAATCGTTTGATCAACAAAAATTTCAATTTAACATTTACAATTAAACTACATAAAAGGTCATATCCCAAGTACGAAATCCTCAAAACAAACCACCCATCGGATTTAGCCTTAAATTCCTCCATTTCCTCCCAAACAAAGTAAGATTTCATTTTGGACCTTCTCATTGTTTAATTATTCAAAAGCCTAAACCTTGATCTGAACCAAATCCTTCAATCCACAACTTTGATCACAAATTTATCATTTCCATTAGATTTACGGTGTTTAAAAATGCTTATCCACCAAATTTCATCCCAAAATTCTCTTGATTGACCCTTCATCAAGAAAAGATTCTATTTTAGTAAATCTCATTAATCCAAATTTTCCAACCATAGATCTCCATCATCCAAGCATTATTCGACCATTTAGATACCACTACCATGTTTAGAGACCCAAAAAACCCTTGCACATCAAATTTCTTAGTTTAATTCACTCATTTGATCGTTAAACTAGAGAGATTCAATCTCGATTTATCAGATTAAATTGCACATTAACTCATACCTCAAAAGGGTGAGATCTAACATCAGCCCCTTACTTGACCTATCAAACACTTAAACTAAGAAAATTAGGCCTAGTAGACTTAAAAGCCCCAAAACCCAAAAGTACCCCACTTAAAGTCATGAAAAGACAAAATGACTTTATGGTTAAATTTACATTTTATTCCACTGACAACCACAAATACAAGATTAAAATAATAGGCATGCCCCGTGGACCTATTCATGAGAAATCCCCAAGCATTTCAAACCTTAGACTCCAAATCCACTCCTTTTGTTCTTAGACCGAAGATTTTGCAACCAAAAACACTCCCCAGCTCGAGGACCTATTCAAGCTTCACTCTAACTCATTTTAGTTATTGAAAATCCTTTGTTAAGGTCACATACACACATACACGCACACGAGAGGTATGCCTCACTCTCTCATTTGCCTAGATTTGAAATCATTGTTATTTTTGTTTAGCTTTGGGTTGCTTGAAGTTTTGAAACCTTGGAGAACGTTCTCAACTTCTTCTAAATTGAAAATAGAGGTAGAGAGGCAAGGGTCTTAGGGAAATTAGTACTTAAGGTTCAATAACATCACTCCAAAATTGTTCTCAAGAAAAGTTGAAAGCATTTTTCTCCAGATTTTAGAAATTTTCACAACCATTTTACTAGATTTTTGTTAGAAATTGAGCCTAGATCATTCTCATATTGGCCTACTAAAGCAACTTGTAAATAGGGTTGTTTAACACCTTCCCTCTCCCAATCCTTGGGAACCCAAAATCTCTTGGTTAGGTGCCTTTTTAGGTGGAAAAGGGAGTCATTATCAAAGAAAATAGATCAATTTTTTAAGCTAAAAAAGAGGGCCCATTTTTTTCTAAAAATGGGTGATGACTCCATCTTTTTGAGCTAACCACAAGCTTCCTAGAGCACACAATTGGCGATTCTACTAGGGATATTGGGACCTTTATCGGGAGTCATTTGGGCTCAATTCCGCACCTTTTTATTGTATGCTTAAAAGGTTAAAAGTTGCTTGAGTACAATTTGAAATTGCATCTCAAATCCTCCAAATAATTCGAAATTGCATCTCAGAGAGGCTTGGCATGATAGACCTTCCTGACATTGTTCAAAATTGTAACTTGGTTTAGTCTCATTACAACCCAAAAGGTCAAATTGTGACTTGGTTTAGTCCCATTACAACCCAAAAGTTTAAATCACAACCTAGTTTAGTCCTATCACAACCTAGAAGTTTAAATCATAACTTGGTTCAATCCCATTGTAGCCCTGAAGTTTAAACCACAACTTGGTTCAGTTCCTTCATTGTCCAGAAGTTCAAGGCCACACCTTAGAATACTTTCATTGCACCCTAGTTGTCGAAATCACACATTTACTTAGCCTTATCACACTGTTGTTTAGTGATGAGAATGAAAAATATCATAATTTTCTCCCTTAATATTTAGTCTTTTATATTTATTTTATGCCCAAATGTACTCATTATTC